CCCCAGGTGCAGGATTTTGCACCTCTCCTTGTTGAAATTCATTAATTGCTCTCAGGCCATTTCTCCAGCCTGTGAGGTCCCTGTGGAGGGCAGCACCACCCACTGCTGTACCAAACACTCCTCCCAATTTATCATCTTCAACTGCTCACTTCAGTTCTTCATAAGATCATTTCAATGAGGTTATAAAATATGACCATAAACCACACAGACTTTATTTTGAAAGAATATCCCCACTTGTATAGTCAGCACTTGTTTGCTGACTACAATCCACAGAACAATAAACCCCCTGCATTTTCTTAGCAGATACCTCAAAGCACAAGCACTGAAAAGATTGTGACTGCTGGTCTAGGGGACAAGTACTGAGTTAGCAGTGTCACACTGGTCCACAGAGTTGGAGAATTTCTCCTGTCAGAGTGTTGTGCTCCTCCTGGACAAGCAGAGTAGTAGAGAAAAAAGAGAACAAAATTCTGCCTGTATCCTCATCCAAAAACATTGTAGTAAACCTCTGTCAAGGCATTCAGGATGGGATACTAGTATCACTCTGGTGGTATTTTTAATAGAAAAAGTCTCTCCCTCGCTTTCTGTCTTTCATTTGGGCATTACTTATTAAGAAGTATTTCCAAAGGAATGGCGCTGGTCACTAATACCTTGCTGGTCAGTGCTACCATTACATTATTGTCACTGTAGCATTGAAATTGTATCCACAGAAATGTTCCTTACAGGAATATCAAGATTTACTTTGCCATGTTTGGAAAGCCTGACATTTCCAAGACCAGCACTCCCCATTTGCAGATCTGAGGCTGCTTTCCAAAGGTCTCAACCCATCAGAGCTCCCGCAGGACAGCAGGGACAGGGAGCAGCCAAGCCTTGACTAACAGGCTGACACTGCTTCATGGTAGGACACCCTGCAGCTGCTGGAAAGCAATGAAGGGAGGCTGAAACATTACCAGAGAGAGACAGAGCGTTCAGCCTGCCCATTTCTGCTGAAGGACTAGAGTAGGGACCTTTATGGCTCCACTAATACGCAAGATAAGCAGATATTTTCATCAAGCTTTTGCTACTTTTAAAAATACACATATCTATTAATTATTTCATGCTGAATCAATCTACCAAAATTCTTTTCACCCCACTTATATCACAGATTTCAGATGTAGGGACTAGATAGCAACAAACACTTTTGAAAGCATCAACTTATATTTTTATGGATCTATAAATAAACGAGGGATGTTTTGACTGTGATAGATAAAAATTGTAATAAAGGCCCCAAGGTTCCAGACAGAGATTATATTTTTTTTTATTATATAATTTGGTTCCTTTGTTAGGAACAGGTATTCAATCCCTTCCTTAGATCTCATAAGGAAGCACTGAGGGCCATGCTAAGTCCAGGATAGGAGCAAGGTGCAGCCTTGCACCACAGCCTAGGTGCTGTGATTGCTGGAGTCACCCAGCAGAATAAATTTGGTCTGACTCAGATGTGGGCACATGACTGTACTTCTCTTGTGTTAGTCAGACACTACAGAGCTGTATTCTTGTGTGCTGGCTCCATGTCAAGGGATGAGGGGGGCAGAAGATGCACAGAGCTGACTCAACAAAGATTTCTGAACAAGGATCCACCAGCCACTCAGCCCACTGCAGTCTGTAGCTCAGGCATTTTGGAGTGGACTTCAGGAACCCTCAGCCCAGCTGCAAGCTATTGGCATATCAATAACACCACTGATTTAATTCACTACCAGTTCTGAGAGATAGGGTATTAGCACCTGCAGAGCAGAAAGCAGTGCCAAAAGAAGGGAGGAGGGGTCACCAGCCTCATGGAAGAGTAGGAGGACCAAGATTCTATAAGCTACCAGAAATAGAGGGATCTGCCAAAAGGGTTACAAGTAAAATAGGCATTTTTATTTGTAACTCATGATCATAGCACTGATATTATGATTCTCATCCTTCTTTCATGCCTCTCTGACAATCTGATGCTGAAAATATGATTGCTTGACTGCAACTGGAGTGCTCAAAGCTGCAGCCCCCAGTGACCCACAATCCTTCTAATGCACTGATCCATCACCACCACACTGTCTCTTCCAGCTGCACTGTTCTCCCATAGGTGGTGTCAGGATTAAGCCTTTTGTCCTTTTCTTGCCACCACTGCACCACAAGAACGTCTGGCTGAAGCCCTGAACTTCCAAAGATGGACACACAGTGTGTGGCCAATATGCCAAAGGATTTCAGTGTCCTGCCTAGCTTTTTTGCCACATTGAAACAGACTCTGCTCATGTCAAGGACACTGATTTCAACAGAAACATGTGAACTAATAATAGTGGAGAAGATTGGGACTGGCCTTCCCTTCTTATTCCCTCTTCTCCACAGCACTACTGAGGTGTTTATTACTTTGGTGTTCACCTGCTGAAATACATAGTATAAGTTCGAGCTGAAGAGAGTTTTACAGTTCAACAAATATAGAATATCTTTTAAAGTCACATCTGAGCAGATACAAAGTCTGAGGAACATCATCCATGTTATCATAAGTGAAATAAAATGAAATCATAATTCAGCCAGATTCAGCATTACTCAGATGCAGTGGAAAGTAGTGCTTCCAATGCCTAAATCTGCTGCCTTTTATTAGTTTCTCTCCTGAAAACTCTAAATCCTTGATATTCTCAAGGATTTATCCTTGATACTTGTAAATCAGATATTCTGTTCTGAACTGCAAAATAGAATGGTAAAGTTCCATTTGGCTAAGCAAGAGCAATAGTTACTGAGATCAGAGAGATTTAGAGCAACAGAGTTCTACAAATCAGCTGTCCTGGCATGACAACTTGTCATACAAGGACTGATAAAATCTTCCATACAAATGGCTATTTGGAAGATTATGTCTGTACTCAGTGGACCTGGATCCTTCAAAAGCATGAAATGACTTAGAAAATCAAGGGGACATATTTTTTGCTGGTACTTAGGTAGTCACTTGTCTACCTCATTACACAGCTAAATACCTCTGAAAATGTAATCTTCAGCCACAGTCTCAAAGGAGATGGATTTTTAGAGGTGCACAGATGGCCAGGAGGTTTACAAAGTGCCTGGTTGTTTAGTTCACTATAAAATCAATGAGAGTTAAGGGTCCCCTATAAAACCACGTTAATCTGCCTAATTAAAAAACACAGCCCTGTGTCTGGTTAAAATCAGTGAGGTTGGAGCCTTGCAAGCTCTCAAAGCTGCACTTTGGCCTTCGGTGAGGTAGTCCCCAGGCAGGAATGCCTGATCAATGGGAACAAGGAGGGGAGAGGTGTCAAGCCTGAACCAGCCTCCAGACACAGCTGGACTGTCAGGACAGAGGGCTGGCAGCAGCAGGGAACAGACAGTCCATAGAAAACTGGCACTAAAATAGGCCAGTCCAGACCTTCACAAAGACACTTCAATCATATCTGCACAGTTTAAAGCAAGCTGTGCGTTTGCTTAGACCATTTGAGAAGGTGTTTTTCTTTAAATAGCAGCCTAGGATGAGAGCTGCCACTTCCAATTTAATCACCCTCCTTTAATACAGGCTGGTGCTTTGCAGCTGGATAATTAACCTTGATACTCATTTGGACTTCAAAACACCCAATTCCCATTGCTGTCAATTAGCTGACAATGTCAAGTGTGTGTTGATAGAAGATTTTTGTGTGACCCTGGCAATATGACATTTAGGAAATTTCAGTCCTTCACAACTAAAAATGGGAAGTGACATTCACAGAATTACAGAATGGTTGAGGTTGGAAAGGACCACTTCACTTCTAGTGAAGTGGATCCACTAGATCCACTTGGAGATCTAGTCCAATCTCCCTGCTCAAACAGGGTACTCTGGAGCACTTTACTCAGAATTTTGTCCAGGGAGATATTTAATATTTCCTCAGCCTCTGTGGGCACCCTGCTCCATTGCTCAGCAACCCTCACAGTACAGAATTCCTTCCTCATATCCAGGTGAACTTCCCATGTTCCAGTTTCCACCTGTTGCCTCTTGTCCTATTGCTCAGCACCACTGAGACTGTGAACTTGTCATTGGATTGAGTTCACTGAAAAAACAGATGTACATTAGGGTTTACCCTACTTTCTGCTCTTACAGCAATGCACCTTTCTAAAAGATCCTCAAGATAATTTTCAAACCTTGTTGTTGCAGCTCTGAGTGCACAGAAGATGCCTTGATCTCAGAGCACTCAGAAGCTACCATGCTTTTTAACACCAATTTAAGGCTGACGCAGGGTTATAAATGACTGGTACACAATGATTTTTGATATGAGAAGCACTACAATAAACACTGACTATCAAAATGAGACAAAATGTGGGAAGGGCCAGTGGCACTTCATTTTTCCACTGATTCCTTTGCATTTATAATAGTTATATCCTACTGGTAACAAGATTAAATTAGTGGGCAGAAAGAAATTTGAATCAGACTGTTTTCCTGATATGCCACAGTGAGTTGTGTTCTGGTAATGAGTGTTAACTCTGCAATCAGGTAAACATTCACCTTGAGAAATGAACAACCTTAATCAGGGCTTTTAAATTAGCTAGAACAGTCAACAGCTAAAATGAAATTGACTCAAACACAACTGCTTTTCTTTTTAAATATTGTTCTTCCTTCCTTATGAGGATGGGAATAGCATAAGTGAAACATTCTTGTAGTAAAAGAGCAGCTCCAGTCCCGTCCATGTTAGACACCCTGTCCTGTGACTAAGAAGGGATCTATTGGCTGATGCTCCATACAGTGCTTTGCACAGGCTAACTAGAGCCTTTTGTGAAGGTTCCTAATGTGAGCTCAATCTGACCTCCATATTGCTAAAGGACTTTACCCCATCTCCTAAGTACAAATAGCAAAATAATGGAGAAAATAAATAAGTGGGGGGAGGGGGGGAGAAAGAAAAAATAAATGTTTGTCTATTGTGCTTTTCTCTGGATTTGAAAATTACATCAACCTGTGGGTCTTTATCTGAAATATTCTGACTGTAGGAAAAACACTGACTACTCCATTTTCTACACAGGGTCAACATTACGAAGAGGAAAAACGGGCTTTGAGCCATGAAATAATTGCACTCAATAATCACTTAATAGAAGCCAAGGTGACTATAGATAAGTTGTCAGAAGACAATGTAAGTATTTAACTATGCAACTGTATTCATTTTGAGATTATATTCAGAAACAAATTAGGTCTTACACTTCCCATGAAATTATAAAATAATATTTTATGTTAGTATAAAATGTAACTTGTCACCTCAACAGTTAAAATTTATGTTTGCTTGTTCCCATCATTTTATAAATCCAGCTCTCCTTATGCTATGAAGTTGTGGTGAGAGTTTTCATTGATTTTTTTTTTCCTTATGTCTAGCCTGAAAGTGATGAAAAAAAATTCTAAGAAATGGCAATATTCCCACATTGATTTTGCCATCAGTATAGCAAACTGGTGCAAGCACATGTATGGAGTGGGGACTCATCAGAAGGATTTTAGGCACAGTCTGAAGCCCTACATTTCCTGCAATTCTTTGATCTTTCAGTTTTGCTCACCAAAAAGCCCAGCACAAGCAAGCTCTTCTAGCAGAAGGCAGGACTGACCCAGCCTGGTCACTCAGACCACTCCTGCAGGGAGCAGGAGTCAGGCTTTTCCCAGCAGTTGTTCATCTATAAAAAGGTACCTGTCTCTGTGTGGGACAAAACAGGGAACATCTCTGGCAATTGTCACCCTCCATCTCATTAAACACTGCTGAGAAATGGCATGAGTAGTGCAGCTGGCAACAAGCTCATTAAATCCTTCCTGAGACAAACCTACAAAGACAGCAAAGAGAGGAATATTGTAGGCATTTAGTTCATTATTGTGCCTTTCCTTCCACATTTAATAAAAAATTCATGTACAGAAGACATACTTCTGTTAGCACTTATTTTCCAGCATCTTATGTTCAGTCTTCCCATATTTCACATGAACTCTTAATCATAGCTGGGAGCATTTGATCTCATTAAAATGCCTGTTGATGTAAACTCTGCCTGTGCAATTAACAGCTTTCCAACTGAAACAAAAAGGTCCCAGTCTGACCTCTCACTTTTATAGAAGTTGAGTTGAAAGAAGAGTTACTTCATAACTCTCACAGCTATAAGTAATGGAGTCTGGTTAAAGTAATGGGCTACATCCAGGTTTTGGAAGCACAGGTATACCTCCAGACTAATTCAGCTGAAATCAGTGGAGTTATTTCTCATTTAAAATAGAGGTGGGAAAAAATTGCAGAACTCTCCCTTTAAGCATGCATGCATTTATACTACTTCATGGCGTCAGGTTTGAGCCCACATTTGAAGAATTTTCAGTATTCATAGTTTTATTCTGAGCATTAGAATATGGTCCAGAGGCCTCAAATAACAGTACTACTTCTTCAGACTTGAGCTTGATTCAGGGACAAAGTTCTGCCCTTGCAGGACTTGAGAAAATTGCATTAAATTAAGTCAGGGCAGGTTTAGGTTGGATATCAGGAAAAGGTTGTTCTCCCAGAGGGTGGCTGGGCACTGGAACAGGCTCCCCAGAAAGTGCTCACAGCCTCAAGCCTGACAGAGACCAAGAAGTGTCTGGACAATTCTGCTGCCACATGGTGTGACTCCTGGGGATGGTGCTGTGCAGGGCCAGGAGTTGGACTTGATGATCCTTGTGGGTCCCTTCTAGCTCAGAATAATCTGTGATTATGTGTAGTATTGCTAATAGGAGTAAAGGTTATATTCCACATTTTAAAATAAAGGACTATGAAACAAACCACTAATATTTTACCTAGTAAGTACAGAAGTGATAAACTGAAGCATCCAACGTGGGGAGAATGTTTTTGTCTCAGCAATATTTCTTTCTTCTCTCTCTTCTGACAGAAATGTAAAATGACACTTTTGATACAAAAACATATTTTAAACTGTGGGAAACACTTCTGGCATTAATTGCCAGTTATTGTTCTGGTTGCCACAGATATGGCTGGTTTCCATTCAAGCAAACACTAAAGGAGAGAAAGTCACTCCAGTCACATGGCTTGGCCCAGCAGCTTGAGAACAAAGTACACGTGGCACATGTAGCTCACATGTAATTTTTCTGTAGTAATTTTTAAAGCTTCTAAAAATAAAGTGTCAGAAATGCTTTTTGTACTCTCCATGACAACCTCTGCGCAGAAAGAGAGGCACACAGCTTTTGAAGAAAGGATTAGGTTCTGGAGAAAGATCGTTTTTGTGTGCCTGGAAATGCCATATGGGACTTGGGTACCTGTCTGTGCTATACATTGTACAGCAATATATATTTGGTTTAATGTGAGTGCAACATATCAAAATCACGTGTAACAGATTTTACTTCTAAATTGAATTCCTGGGTTCTTTTTCAGGAATGAATATAGTGTGTCCGAATATAAAATTTAAGACCTACATAAATTAATTTTCCCCCACTAGATTTGAGGCAGAAGGGGCATGTATAAAGTCTCACAAAGACAGAGAAAAAAATTGCAAAACAAAAGTGTCTCAAGGTCCTTGAACATGAAGATATATGAACTAATGTTCACAGGACAACTATCTGCATCCCTCAAGGACTCACAAGAACATATTGCTGCATCTCTTATTACAGAATACCTTAAAATGGCATTTTAAAACAGAGGAAATATCTTTTTCACAGAAAATTTCTTTATCCGTTTTTAAGAGAATTAATGGAGCCATAAAAATCGGCATGCAATAAAATTATAACATTAATATGAGGAAAAAATCTAAATTATATCAGTATTCCACACCTTTTGTCTGTAAACACGAACTAATTTTTACAGATTAACACAGCCCAGTGCCCACTTTTATGCTTTTTATATTTCATCTCTGCCCACCTATAAAGTCAACTTCTGAAGCCAACCTTGGTGTTAATGAAACTACATAAGGAAAAACAAAATACAACTCTTACCTTCATGGAGCCAGAGATACTGGTTGAAGGATATAGTTACAGAGCCATGTGTGCTAAATTAAATTTAGGTGAAGGGCAAATCTGTGTGCTGAATTTTCCCATTAAATAGGCTGTGGGAGCCATTCAATACAAAGATAGTATAAGAAGCTTGCTTAAATTCTCTCCTTTCCTGTGTGGAATTCTCTTGGTAATTTCTTGCCCAGTGAAAATATTCTGTTCTGCAGCATCAAATATTTGCAGTGAGATTTAATATATTTCTATAGCTGCATTCTGCAATATATTAAAGGAGCCAGGAGCCATGAAGAAATATCAAAAGGAGAAAGAGTCTCCCTTTTAAAAAAACAACACAATGTATATTTCTGTAAATAATTTCTCCCACAGTCTCATAAGATTGTTTTAGTACTTTCTAAAGTAGTGTTTTAGTGCTGGTCTGGATAATACCCAGTTTTTCTTTTTTGCTTAAAAGATCATTATTTTTTAGCCTGCACAGTACCATGCATGTTAACAGTATAAAATTCAGTTCTTAATGGTAAGTATGCATCTTCTGAAATGCAGATTACTGTTCTGTTGTAACAGGTCTCAAAAGTTTATTCTTAGTAATTTTATCGGCCCTCACAGAACAAAGGGGGAAATCTCTCTGGATTGTGCAAGAAACAACAAAGCATCTTAATTTGTTTAGAAATTAAAGCACGCTACAAATCTCCCCAAAGTGCATTTTGAAAAGATTGATCAGGCACGGGAGAAAGGCTGAAAGCCACAAGCGCTTTGCAAACCGTAAATAAGAGGTTATTTTTTGTATTTTCCAGGAGCTCTACAGGAAGGACTGCAATTTAGCTGCTCAGCTTCTCCAGTGCAGCAAGAACTATGACAGGGCACATAAACTTTCAGAGGTAATGTGACCAAACTTGTTCAAAGGCACAAATATTGTATGGAAAACAGGTTATTTTGCATGTATCGGTTCCAGGATTTGTTTGCCCTCAAGGCTTTTATTTCTCCACACACCCCTTATGCCAGGGAGGCTCTGTGCACCTGCTGGTGTTTGTGCAGTCGAGGGAGGTGCTGACAAAATCCCAGCCCCTGGCGGAGCTTGAAGCTCTTTTCCCGAACCTCTCCTATCCAGTGGAATGGGCTCTATTGCACTGATTGCCTGTAAAACAAAGGTTTCAGCAACACCGAAGTGCTGTGAACTCCGGAATGCAAAATGCCGTGCAGGAGCAGTGGGCTGAGAGCAGGGAAATGACAAGTTACAGGCGTCAGAGATTCTGATATAATCAATTTCCCTCCTGAAGCTATTTTCCAGCCCAGCTAGTTTCCAAACCCGAATTTTAAAATGGACTGCCAGAACAAATATCTTTTTCTAAAGAAACCAGAGCACCGAATGATTGATTTCCAAGGTGTAAACTTTAATTAATAATCCTCGCTTCCAAGGAAACGAGCCTTGAGAAATAGGCTCCTTAAAGGGGAGGTAAATATTATCTCAGTAAACAAGACAGTTCTTTGGGGATCCAGGCCCTGCACAAAGCAATAGCACCTTCCTCACATGTATTGCTTCAGTGAAGGTTACAGAGAATAGCCTTTCCTTCATCAGTCCCATCAGGCCAACATTTCCCCAAATTAAATTTGGAATGTACAAACCATCTCTAAGTCAGTAGACGGCTTCAGAGCACTGAACTACCCTGATAAATAAAGATGGAGCAAGATTCTTCTGCAACAACAGGCAATGATTTTATGGAAGTGAGACAGAACTTCCAAATTAACCATTATCTTGTTTATTTTTTCCTGTTAACTGACTTACTTTAGCAGATTGTATCGAGGAATTATCATCACATTACTCACTGGAAAGCACTTTACCTGTTCTAATTAGGACCTTAAAAGCATTTAATTGTTTATTTGCAGAGTACTATCACAAATGTGAGATCTCCCCACAATTTCCCAGACTGTCATATACTCAGTAAAATAGGCAGTCTCCACTCATAAGTCCAAGAATTTATTAATTTAGCAAGAGTGAATGTGCTGTCACAGCCAATAAATTCTTAACAAATGCAAATATTGCCTGATAAACTATTGTGTGTCATCCAGAAACCTAAACTGTAGTACAATATAGTAATGTGATAGCAGTATCATTTTAGTAATTCCCATTTCCAGTGCAATGCCCACAAAATAATGTTCTTTTTAACACATTTCATAATTTTAATAACATACATAAAATAGATCAAACAGTGGTGCTATACAACATCAAAATAAGAGCTGCCCCATACAGCATTTTCACATTAAATTAACTGTGGGTTTTTTTCCTCATTTCTATGGCAATTTACACCAGGCCTATTTTACAACCTGTTTATTCAATCTTTGTTGCATCTGTACTTACTATGACTAATGTTGCTGTCTGCCAGCAGACTGGCAGTATCATTTATTTCCAATGGAAGACATATGAGTTAATTAGCAACATAATGATTAATCCAAAATATCCTGGAAGGTCTGTTGGTTGAAAAAACACTCGTCCTACTACAAATAACAAGAATGCCATTTCACTACATGCCATATTTTGAACACAGTGAGGTTTGGGGATTAAACCACCTTTAAAAACTTCCCAATGAAGCTAAAAGAGGATCTCCATATCTTACAAACTGTGAGGTCATGACAAGGAGCAGGCACCTTAAATTTCCTTTGCCAAAAATAAAAGCTAGGGGAACAACTACAGGTGTTTGTAGTGTTCTCTCCTCTAGAGGTACAAATTTAAGGGACAAGTGAGATTGCTAAGGTCATAAGGTTAACCACTGATTATTTTGTAAAGAGGAGCTTGATTTCTAGTTATAAAAAGAAAGTGCTGAGTAAATCAGAGTTCAGCCCATCCTTCAAGGGATAAATTCCCAAGTGGCATAAGTCAACACAAATATCAAAGAGCTATCACAATCAAAAATTCAAAACTTATTCCAAACATGAATTCTGATTTCCAACAAGAAATACTGAGAGACAACCTCTCTCATATTGCTGTCTGATCATTGATAGAGATCTGAAGTGAGCAAGGGAGATAAAATTTGACAGGAAAGCATGCTTGGTAGGTTTCACCTGAGTAGGCTTCACCAAGGAATGTCATCTCTCTCTCTTTCTTCGGGTCCACCTGACAGAATGGCAGGTGAAACCACCATCCACAGCCCTGATCCTGACTTTCTAAAAAAAAACCTATATGATTTCAGATATATAACAGACTTATTGATTAAATCTGTCCCAGGAATCACAGTGTGAATACAGGTCTCGGTGCTTATTTCTGTCAGTGTGTTAGGACATGTTGAGGCTTATGTGGATGGTTGATCTGACAAGCAGTGTCCGACTGAAGGGGCAAGGAAGCCAGCTTGATCTGCTTCTTCCCAGCACAGGCATAATCCTGTCACAGCAGCCAGCACCACTTCTCTAAGTGTCAGTCATCTTTTCTGCATCTTCAAACAGCATTGTTTATCAAAGGTGATGCTGGAGGGCAGGAGCCAATTTGGCTGGGATTGTAGGCAAGAGGAGCTCGAGGAAAGGCAAGAGAAGAACACAATAGATCTGATCTCTTCCTCTTTCCTCACTGCTGCAGAGAACTCTGCACACCCACACCACCTGCAAATCACACTCAAGCACACAGTCTGGAAAGTGTTGTTGTAGGCTGTAATTCCCTACCTGCCATTTAAAGATTGTTGTTTAGTACATGCTTTATATTTATCAACAAAATAAACCTGGAAGTGCTGGGTTAATGGCTGGACTTGATGAACATAGAGGCCTCTTCTGACCTGAGCAATTCTATGATCATTCCTATCCAACCTGAATTAATTTGGAAGGAAGCTTCATTTTTATGGTGTTATCCGTGAGCGAAAGCAGATGAAGATGTGCAGATGTTAAGCAAACAAACAAAAGTCATTTGATTACATTTGTTTCCAGAAATGCACAAAGATTGTGGCCATCAGATTAGCCAAAGAACCTATGGTATGGTGAGCTATGTAATGTCACAAACAGCACTCATCTGACACCTCTATTAACATGTTTCCTTTTCCCCTTTCTCCTTGCCATCTCTTTATGTTGCAGTTGCCAACTGACTTTCAGGAAAGAGTCAGCATCCACCTGGAAAAACACGGGTGCAGCCTTTCTGTCCCCTTGTGCCACACTTCTTATGCTGATACCATACCCACTTGTGTCATTGCCAAAGTACTGGAAAAACCAGACCCAAACAGCTTGTCCTCACACTTGTCAAGCCCATCTACGAGGGATCTCAATTTTCAGGACTCTGCTGGAAAAGTGGGACAAAGACCCCAGTACAAGTCTGACATTTACTGCAGTGACACAGCCCTTTACTGCCCCGAGGAGAGGAGGAGGGAGAGGAGGCAGAGCGTGGACACACAGGTGAAGGACGTGGGCTTCCTGCGGTCCCAAAACTCCACGGACAGCACTGTGGAAGAAGATGGTTTCCATTCCAGCTTCTCCCATGAAGCCTTCCCAGAGTACATCACCTCCCTGCCAACCTCCAGCTCCTACTCCAGCTTCAGTGTCACGTCTGAGGAGAAGGAGAACGCCCAAGCCAACACTCTGACAGCGTCCCAGCAAGCGATCTACATGAGCAACCGAGACGAGCTGTTTGAGAGGAAGTCACCCGCGGGGTACGAGCACCAGGGGAGCCCCAGGTTTGCCAAGCCCAAACCTGCACAGCACATGGAGCTTGCTGATGACAACGAGAACTCACCCACTTTCACCAGGTCTCTGCCTCCATATGCAAACGAACCTTTTCATTTCTCAGCCATAGCACCACAGCAGGCTTTAGCAAACCAGAAAATGAGGAATGAGTGCAGGAGCACCCACCTCTCAGAAGAAGACTTGCCAGGGCGATGGAGGCAGCTGAGCGTGGAGGACATTGGAGCATACTCCTACAGGAATGCTGGCAGGCTGTCACCCTGCAGTTTCTCAGAGCAGTACTACAGCAGCCCCATCAAGAAGGGGGACAGTCGAACAAGCCCCATCTATGCTAGTTACAAAGCAGACAGCTGCTCAGAGGGAGACGACATCTGCCAAAGCAGACTTGTGGATTCTTGCTTCCTGAGAACAGACAGTGGCCTGAACATTGACATCAGCACAAGCTGTAAACAGGACAAATTGCCCACTTACAAAACAAAAGAATCGAGAGACCAAAAAAACGAAAGGATCACTGTCCAGTTATGCAGTAGCAAAAACATGGAAAATAGCCCGGTATTGAAAAGAGAGTACGTGGACGTGAGCCCCAACAGCTCAGCAGAGTCACTCAATCAGAGCTCAGTGGAGGCTTCAGAAATCCACCAGTCTTCCATGGATCAAGGGAGCCATTCGGGTGTTCACAGCAAACAGCCACAGTTTCAGCGGACTGGGAGCACTGGTCTGAGTCGGAAGGACAGCCTTACAAAAGCACAGCTTTACGGAACCCTTCTGAACTAGGCGTCTCCCCAAACTGCAATAAGACAGCAAACAAAAGGAAGAAAAGAGCATTTGATACTTCTAGAGAACAATAAGGTTCTAAGAAACAGGATTATTATAAAATATATATTCATAATGGTACTATATGTTTAAAACAAAATCTCTTCAAAAACGTTATACAGCACTTTTCACTTGACATCCTTTCCACACGGGAGACGGTCCCCTCCCCTCTTTTATAAACCTGAAATATTTTTATAAACAAAAATGTATTTATTAGACTATCCTAAACTATTTGAGCAGAATTCTTTTCCCTTCAAGCAGGTTTCTTATTTATTTTTGTGCATGAGGCCATCTGTGCCTAAATTCTTGGAGGAAAAGGGTAAAATCATGATGACAGTGACAAAAAAAAATAAACCCACCTGATAAAAATACCATAAAATGTCATGTGAAATCAAAACAAACAAGAACGGTGAATTTGAAGAAGTATATTTTTTAACAAGAATGGAATTGTATCTTAACTTATTTCATACAAATGTATTTATGAGTGACTAATGTATGCACAAAGTGATACAAATATTTTGTTCTTTTAATCCACTGTGTTTCTGCTTTCCTATTTTTCCTTGTATACTACCTCAAAAGTAATTGAGGGTTTCTTTGTCACATTTTCTGTAGGCTTGCATTTATATTGTCTAAAATGCATGCAGTGTCATAATTAATACTGTATTTTGCATAACTTAATAAAAGACACCAGTGGATATATTTTGGGGTTGTTTTTCCCTTAATTCAATAGAACATGGAATTGCTCTGAGGGGCATCAGTCCAGCAAAAGCTAATGACTAAAGCTCCTGAACTAGATTGCTTTCTAAAGGAGTCTCTCTCTGTAAGCTCCAGAGAAATCTGGTTCACAGCCCATGGCCTCTGTGTGTGGGAGGATGGCTTCTCATCAGCCTGTTGAAAGTAAGCAAGGGAAAAAGAAATGTTTATCCACAGTCTTGACTTCACCAGACAGGGTTCTGCATACTGAATGAAAACAGAAAATTACTCCAAAAACAGTGATGTAAGCTCTTCCTCTGTTACTCACATACTTGACACAATTTTTTATGCCTTTACGACTCTTACATTCCACAGCTGCCCCTTCTGTAGCTTGGTATTTCTAACAGTGATTTTTCTAAACCCTAAGGAAAGTCTGGCCGTCTGTAGCCTTTACTTCTGAGTCTGTGAATATGTATTTTTACCTGTACTTTTGGCATTTCCTCCAGCAATTTTTCTGTTTCTCACCATTTCACCATTATGGAGTGTACAACTGGGACAGGAGGGAAAGGGAGAGAGCAAAACGAGAGAGGAGAAAAACAAAAAGGAAAAAAAGGGAAATCCTGTGGATTTTCTTCCCAGCTTCAGTATTCCTGCTTGGTAGAATACAGCAATAAATATTTAATGATTATTTTAAGTCATGTTCACATATCCTATACCTAAAATACTGACTCTTGACAGCTCACATATGGGGGAAGACCTTGCTTGGTGCAGTATGTGGTACTAATCAGTGGGATCACTTGGAAATATAAACTAGCTCCTTGTAAAGCTAAAATAATGATCTACTCAATAGGTATTAAGAAAACATACTTTTTTTCTGCTGATTCTCTGAAAGCAGTTACCTGGCAACTATGAACCAGGACTACAGAACTGTTCATTTCCCACACAAGTGTCTTCAATCATGGAGCCACAGATTCAGTGCACTTGGCATGAATAACTCCCATTGCTCTCCATTTCCTTCATGTCTACTACAGAGTTTTGACCATTATTGATGTGTACAAGTAGTTGCTGTGCTCTTTGGGAGATTGGGCATCAGGTCCCTGCAGTTCCTCCAGGGTCTGTTGCAGCACCATGGAGAATAATGGCAGCAAATAATATCACACAGGTAAGGCAGGAGTTAGCTCCAAAGTGGTGCTCATTTCAGTACAAAACTGTCACATGCCTTGTGATTTTATGCTCCCAAAGTTGCTCACAGTGAGTGTGAGAGGTAGGGCAGGCTGCAAATAATTCCATGAAGTCAATAATAAACACATACAATGAGGTTTCCAAAGGCCAAGAGCTACTTATGGCAGGATGTGACCTGCAGTAAATTGACTTGGAGATCCAGAAGAGCTGTTATTTCCCCCTTTGAAACACCAAGATAGAAAACAGATGCGAAAAAACCTCACTGTTGACTCATTCAGGTATATAAAATTCAGACAATCCCTAAGGCAAGACATTAATTTCTCTGGTGAATGAATATAAGGATTTGTATGGAAGAGGTGAAAATTAAGTGTTATCTCACCTAAGAAAATATGTAAGCTATGGAACAGTAAATTGTGTCATTTATGAACTGGAACACAGTGTCAGACTAATCCTTTTATAATATTGTTCATTATTTGACCTAAAGTGCTACTTTGGCAATTACACAAAATTACATTTCTTCTAGATATTATATCTCTGATTATTTAATATCCTGTTCTACTATATTCTTTCATACTACTGCAGTTTCAAAGTCTGCTTCTATGCTTCACTAAACTCTTTTTCTCAGTTTATGTGCACTAATACATAGATTAAACCCAGCCTTCTCAGCCAATTAGTACAGAGGTTTTTTTTGTAAAATAGCCTATAACCTTGTAACATTTTATTGTAACGAATTTTCTTACAGAACAATATATTACCCTGTAATGAATTTCAACTGAATCAATCAAAATGGCTGTAAAACTTCTTCAGCTTTAATGTGTTGACTTAAATTTCTCCTTAATTAGAAAAACTGACAGTAAGTTTGCTAATTTCCTATGAACATGAGAAAAAGTTTCAATAATTCACCAACATTTTCTCAGATTTACAGATATACTATGGTTTAGTTTAATTAAAAAAAAAAAAAAAAACTTTGAAAGATTATAATAAAGGATTGGTTCCTGGGATTTTGGGGTTAATTTTGTTGCAATAAGTTTAGATTTATTGAGACAACCACAGAGATCTGAAGCATGAGAACAAAACGATGACTGGTATTTTCACAATAGATTCAAATTTTCTTTGTGGTAGTGTCTTAATTTTTTGCTTGCCTTCAGTTTTCAGACCAGGAGGAAGTAATCCAGTTTTGGAGTATGTCAGTGGAGATACTGAAAATAGCCAACAGAGTTCTGTTGTGCCATCAGACAACCTGTTTGTACAGACTTATAGACACTGAGATTTTAGGAATTTGAACCTTGTTAAAAAGAGACAAAGGCAGAGAATAAGCCTGAACCCAGATAAAAGGGGCACTGGATCTGTCTGTCACCATGTTCCTCAGAGCACTTACCTTCTGTAGGACATTTCAGACAGAGAACAGCACCAGAATGAGCCTTCTCAGAAGAGCTGACCTCTTTTTCATGTAGAAATGGTAGATGTGGTTTGATAAACTCTACTCTTATGCTCATTTAATGACAAGTGTCTCCAGAAAGCAAAAGAACAGATCTTCAGCCAAAGTGCCACAGATCCCTCCACTCCAGTGGCTGAGAATTTGCCATGAAATACCTTTTCCCAAAGACATAAATGTTCAATTTTCTCTTAAGCATTACCAGAACACCAAGGTGTCTCCATGCTGCCACAAAACCTCACTTTTCCAAACCAAATTTTATATGCAGGATTTGTAGGTAACTATGGCAGGAATTTTGATTTGATTCATTTTTTCATTTGCCATGAGTAAGAACAGAAAGGGAGAGTAAAAGAAGTGGCAAGTCCCCAATAGTGCAGTGAAGCAGAAGATGAAAAATGTCATTTTAATGATGAAAACCAAAAGCAGAATGAATATGACACAGAACACTGATCAGGGAGAAAACAAAGGGGTCTGAAAGGGGTCAAAGTGAGGCATATTGAATCACATATCAAAACAGACAAGAATACAAAAATGTTACTAGGGATATGGGTTATAATTCACCAGGAATAACAATGCAAAAATATTATGAAATCGTAGAAAGAAAATGCATTTTTGAGATGTTTTCTCACTCCAATTAATCTTAAAAAAAGTTGCAAAATCCCAAAAATTATGAATAATGCAGGTCACTTTTGTTAAACTTTTTATAAGTCTAGAAATAGTTAAAATTTTTAAGCTTAAATAATGGAAAGCCATAACACTGGTCATTTTCAACTCAACAGTTTCTAACTTGTTCACCCAAACTAGAAAATTAATCAAACTAATTCTTTCCCCTTCCAGCACTTTTAATTAAAAAGAATTTTCACTCCATAATCTATCAGAGAGCATGATTATGCAGCTACTTAGATTAATTTCCCCTTGTTTAATTTCAAAGTACTAATTGACATCCTCTGGACTTTCATATAAAATTCTTATCCCCCATTCATGTCTGCAACCTTGTAATCTTTACAGACTACTGTTAAATGTCTCCTTAAGTATTGCTTAAGTTGTGTAGATGTAGTCCTCTCAGATTTTTCTCTTGGAAGACACTCCTTTCAGGACACTGACTTGTTCTCTTCGAGGAACATCCTCCTCACCTTTCTACTGCTGAACACCATAACCTTTAATATAGCAGAGAGCTGTTCCAGCCCCCTTACAAAAGTGCAGTTCAAGGAAAGGAGAGGACTAAAGCTTCTGAATGACCATACCCTCTGATCTGCATGCATCTCACCATGGCATGTTACCTACACACTCTTATATCAACATTACCAGAAGTTTTTCATTGTTTTCCCAATCTTTCCTTCGTGTCTTTGTAAACAAACTTCATTGTTAAAAACAACTCTGGGGATTCAGTCATTCTTTAACAACTTTTCATTCATTCCAGCATTCTCATATTATTTTCTCTTTGGTATTTTCTTTTTCCTGTATTTCTGTAATTGAGAGGTTTTGTTTAGCTGCAGCTAAAAAGAATAATTTGAATATTCATGAAATGGAAGGTTTTGCTCCTTTTGTACCCCACAACGTCTTAGACATCAGCTTAATGTCCAAAGCACCAAGGTTTTGAAATGTTGCTGTTCCAAGGCTCCTCAGCCCCCTTGCTGCAGAGAAGGGGACTCTGCTTTCTGCCAGATGGGAGCTCCTTAAGGATGGTGCCAGCTCCACATCCCACACCTGTGGGGAGTGGTAAAGCCCCTCCCACCCCTCCTTGCTGAGGCAAGGATCATCCCTGCAGACATTTACTATTCCAGAGCAGGGAGAGCTCCTTCATATTCAAGGGCCAAAACAAGATGCAATTGTTGGAAAATATCCCTGATGGGAGTTAAGTGCCCAACAACACACCCATAGTGATAAATACACATTAATACTCTAACTGTGATTATTCAGAAAAATTCTAATTTTTGAAGTCAGCTCTAATGAATATTTAAATATATTCACCCATTTCAATTTTTCCTTTGCAGTTTATGAGTCAGAGCAGACTACACGAGCTGCAGAGCCACAGCACTATTTACTACACCCAGCCAAGCAATGACAGCTCTATGATTTAGAAGAAGAGAAACAACAGCAAGTCCCAGAATAATTAAATTTGTAATGTCAATGTCAGCCAATGTCCTTTCCCATTCCGGGTCTGCACATGTGGCATTGAAAAACAGATCACAAGGAATAAAAGCATTCTCAGCACAGAACGGTTATAAATTTCAGCAGGCTCCCACTCAAGAAGTGTTTTGTTAAACTAGAGCTTTTATTGTTACAGTAGAAATCCTCTTGATCTGGAGACCAGTTGTGTGGGGTGACATGAGGAGGAAGACCTGCACTGAATGTCCAGACATCACAGAGCCTCTCACCTCAAGAAACCACTGTGCCACCACCCTGAGGAAGTGGGGACAACAGCAGCAGCTCTTCTACTGATAAATCATGAGTGTTGACTCTGGTGTGGTTTTTTTTGGAAAGGAG